AAAATTTATCTACTGTAAGAGAAAAATCGATAAACTGACTTCTTATTAAAACCAGATTTTCATTTACTATCTCATTAAATATAACAGCATCTCTAATCTGTTACCACATATGCAAAGACTTTATGTTCAGAACTATTAGATACTAAGGCCTCTCGCTTTCTATTGTCTGAAGGAATTTTACCATATTAATCAAAAAATAATAGGATTACCTTTAATTATGTATTATAGTCAATTAATATTTTTATATTTCTTAAATATGAAAATAGGATAAATTCCTGTTTAATATAGCACCCAACTTTTTTGAATCAAGGTGGATTCTATGTAAGGTGCCAGAATTAATATGGTTTGGTTCTATTTCTCCTGTTTCAAAATGTGCTTCTGATAATTCTATTGAAAGTAAAATAATAAAACAGATGTCATGTTTTAATCAATTAAACCAGAAATAATTTTATCGTTTCTAGCATTCAAATAGCAGGTATTATCTGTTCCTAAATTATTGTCAGCTGTATATCTTATAAAGGGAGAAAGAGGACTTATGCAAATGACCATCTGTAATATATTCACTTCTATAAGAGTGACTTTCACCATTAGTAGTGCCAATAAGATAAAAACATGAAATAAATTACTAACAACTTCCATTAGATAACCAATCACAAGGTCAATCCATTCCAATTATACAAAAAATTTGCAAGTTATTATTGCGCTAATAATACTAAAGTTCTCATGGATACAGGATTAACATCAGCATAAAAAGTATCTTATTGTTAATCATATCACAATTATAACAAAAGTATTTACTGCACATATGATTATTTCAATTCAGGAGTAGCTCCAGTTTGAAATGTTATTGGAGGTGATTGCAATACTTACACTTCACTACCCAATAAAAAAGTTTGTTATAGATCAGCATACTGTTAAAGTAAAGTAAATAAAACTGATTGAAATGTGCATTCACTGCCTAAGATACTAAATGTAGGGATTTTGATTGCAATTACAAACCTAATTCTCTAATTACATCAAATAATTTCATTCCTCTATTATATTAAACTAAAAAATAAGCAGAAATGTCATTTTAGAATGCTCTTACAAATTTCATTACAAAAGGAAAATTACATTATCCTAATACCATTTTCTCTTGTAATACATGTCTCTCTAAACTTTATTCAACAATAAACGCCCCTTAGTTACACTTCTCAGGAAATAGCAATCATCAATATTTTTATGTTTAACTAGACATAGTTTGTTCAATTAACTTATTCTTAAACAATCCATATAACCAGATCTTAAATTCTTAATAAAAACAAAATCTTCTACACTAAAATCAGAAGTACCTAATAAGTTTGCTCTATTCTTTATGTATCTTCTATGTATATATGGTTCAAAACATTTCTTTAATGAGTTTCAATATCTCTTCCAAGTATTTTAAATATGTGAGTAAAAGAAATACTTGCTAAAACACCATCTGTAGCCATTATATAATCATTGTTAATTATACGTTCTACTTATTATGTAACAGATGTTAATTCCCAAAATAATTTCCCTTCTCTATTGTATTAAAATCACTCTACAGAGTCCCTTCGAGCACTATTATCAATTATTCACATTTTGAATCTTTCTAAAATATTACTTGCCCTTTATTGTAATTTTGAATCTTAGCTTTTTAAATCTCTTATTCAGGCGTAAGAAAGAAAAAAAATTTACTTCATTTATAAACTTTCTATTTTCATCATACTCCTTTATCATTATATCTTCAACTGCCTTTCTAAACTTTCCTCTGTCAAGCATCAAAAAATTACAATCAGCTAAATCTATTTGTATTTAAATACTAATGATTATTTTTAACTATAAGATTTTACAAATTAATTTATAAGTTAGCAATACAATAAGGCAATTTTACCAAAATAATCTCCTTCTAATATTACTTTAACTTATTTTTAATTGATACTCACCTAAGCTTGCCCTTTTTGTATAATAAAATTGGAAGAAGCATAAAATAACATAACTTCTTTACCTAATCTCCTTCTTAAAATATGAATTAATCTCTTTTCTAATAACAAAACACTAAGTTTTCTATTAGAAAATCTTTAGCTTATTGTGTCAAACGTATAAATAAAAAGTGATTCTTAAAGCTTTTCTCTATCATATATCTGTCGCTCACTATTTCTTTCATTCAACATGTACTTTTTATAATTTTGTTCAACTTAATAATATTATTTGTACATTTTATTCATCTCTTCCTTTAAACTTTTTTTCCTTGCCTATCAGAAATTGAGATATGAGTCTAAAATTAAGAAAAAAATCTTCAGTTTGTATTTAGATTAAAATAATATTATTTATTGTTTTCTATTATTTTAGAAAGCAAAGCTGATTTCATTGTTCTTTGATGAATAATTTTGCAAAAAAACAATCAGTAATCCTCTTATTTTAATAATTTTACTCTAAAGCTTGATTCAATTTTTGATAGCATAAATATCATATAATTTAGGAAATACTTTTGAATAGTAGTATTGGTTTGTAGTTTATCCTCATCATTATTGTTGTCTTGATTTGTGTATCTCTCAATATCAATAAAAAATTACGAACAAATTTGAAAGAATGTTTAGAATAGTTAATTAGGAATACATAATATACACAATTGAAAATTATAAAAATATTAACTAAAATAATAACGCTCAATAATTGAAAATGATAAATTTGAGAAATAAACATTAAAAACATTAGCTCACCATACTTCCTGTTCCTAGAAACAAAATAACAATCTCAATATTAATTTTGTGGAATTACTTGATTATATAATGTATCATCTATTTCATCACTACATTTAATTAATCACAGCTAATGGTTTTTTAACATAATATATCCTATTGCATATTATCATTTAAAATTATTTAACTAACTTATTAATCTTTTAACGAATGATAATGTCGTCAATATATTATTTCAATTATGTTAATAAAAATTAATTCGGTGTTATAATTGGCTTAAATAGAGATCAACATTCAACATTTTGTTTAAATTTATAATGCCATAAAAAAGGAAGGTTTGATTAATGATAGAATGTTGAATTTAATATCCTTTAATTATGTGGTAATTAAGATAAGAATAAGTAATACTTTAGTATTCAACTGTACAAAAAATGAATTAGAAATTGAAGTCATAGACATTACTTTATATGCCTTTAGTTATGCTTCAGCAATACTTTAATTATCGAGAATGCTTAATTAGGTAAAAAACAAATTTGAATTCATATACTATGTTGGATAACAGGAAAGAACAAGAATTCTCAATAATTAAAATAGTTAAGTAAAGTGAGTTAAATACCAGCATTGTGCTCAGCATTAATTGATAGATAGAAATAAAAATATTAGAAGATATGATGCTGCCTGATTTTGTTTTACCATTTTATGGTAATACTTGTATTTCACTGAGTCATTGAATGTTTGAAATTTGCTTAAGAAAAAAATAAAACCTCACAGTTAATAGTGTGATTACCTATACCATGCCATCGTTCGTATTCATTAGAATACCTTTGATTCGTTGGTCTTCGATGTCTTTGCATGCAAGGTTGCATTGTGCGAAGGCTTGAAGGATGTTTTGCATATTTGGTTACTCTTATTCATTGTGGGTCATGATTTAAAAACTTAATTAATATATAATACATAATATAATGATTGACCCATTAAAGGAAGATGAAAATTATGTTATTCAATAGAATTGTGTGGAACTGGGATTTTTTGGATTACTTCTTGTTTATAAGTACATTTAGTGTTGTGATTTGAGCATTATGCTCATTCAAATTTAAGTAATAGTTAGAGGTTGTTAGGTATATGGTTCAATTCTGGCTATTTAACATGCTCTTGTAAGTTCATACCTAATTAATCTTGAGTTTATAATCTTCTCTCCTTTATTTCTTTGGTGTAGTTAAAAAGCTAATTAATGTAGTAATTTTATATTCTTCTAGTAATAGGCATAATTAAATATCAAGAGTATTTGAGAAAAGTCTCATTAATTATCTGAATATCTTCTTTCTGTATTTCATAACTCCAGCAAATAGAGATTTATATCTGAGAGTGTTTGAAATTAAATTTAATTGCCATTATGATACTCCTCTAGTTGTTTCTTCTAAGATTCCATTTGGAGGAGAGAGATTTGATATCATTAAGAAGAAAGCCTAAAACTTATTTATTCACTAATAAAGCAAGATCGTCAGCATGACTCCTTTCATTTAAACTGTATCAATCTATGAGCAATTTAGTCAAAAGCATTGTTAAATGCGATTGGGTGTGAAAGTTTATATATCCTTACTCTCTTTGGTTTCTTTAATCTATTGGTTAACCTTGTATAGCGATGCCATATTTTTATTTGCTTAAGCAAATAATCGAATTGTAACCTGTGCTAGATTGTGTGCTATATTCATCAAAATACCTTTAATTAGTTAGTGTTATAAATTATGGCAAGCTGCATTACAATGTGAGAATGTATTGATGAATTTTTTGGCATCAGTAGTTTATTATTAATTTTCAGCCAGATTTAAAATTTAATAATAATATACTTTATAATATATAATATGATTACATTGGATATCAATTAAATTGTTTGGTGCAGGTTCTATAGGTTCATTTGATTGGATTCACTTTAATTAGCTTTTTTTGTTTAATTATTTTTATGGTTATTGCCATATGTTTGTTTTAAGATTTTATAATGTTTCTTAAAAATCACTAACAAATTCTTTATTCTAAAATTTGGTCAATAGCTGTGGCAGTATTATCCTTGTTGAAAAATAAATTATCTGATAGAATGTGTTTGCCATTACATCTGACTTGGTATGTAGGGCAGTTTGCCCAAACAAATTTAAATAGTAATTGTAGATTCCTTGGTAAAGTGTTAAGTTCTTGTTATTATATATGTTCCAATAATTTATTAAAATCTTGTTCTTTGAATTCAAGTCCTCTTTCTTAAATCCCTCTGGGGGTGATTAATAGACTACCCAGCATTGTAATTTTGTAGTTTTTGAGAACTAGGCATAGATATGTATCTGCTTAATGCCACACTTGTTGGTGTTTACTCTTAGATTCCATAGTGTGGATAAATCTTTTATTTTGTTTAATATATATCCTACATTATGTTTGCTAGTGAGTACAACAGGATCATTTACATATCCCATGAATTAAAATGTATTATTATTTCTGAATAGTAGTTTTTTAAAAAGTTGTCCAAGTATATATGGAATAGTGCAGTGGAAATGGGGGATCCCTGAGGAAGTTCGTTTTCGTAACAAGATATTAGAAATATGAAAAGAAATTAAACTACAAAAGATTTATAAAGTGCTTTAAATACTTCATAAGAGCAAAAATCAAGAAAATGAAAGAACTCCAAAATAATCTTTACATAAAAAATCCCATAAGACTCTATCTTAAGATAAAACTCCACCTTAAGATAATACTCCATAGAGACAATAAAAAGAAAAAGCAATCTTCTAAGATAGTAATAGTTTAATAGCTAATGGTGTTACTACCAAAGAAATGAAGCTTTTAAGATTGTAATCAGATTAAATTTAATGGTGGTTAAATAATGTATTCCAAATAATGCATTTAGTGATCTCTATGGGTGTTTAAGAGAAGATCTCAATAATTAATAATGTAATACAATTAAAAAGATGTTATGAAAGGTTTATAATAGTTAATGATTATTTGGAACGATCCTGAATATAAATAAGATATTATTATATTGAGTAACTTGCTACTTAAATTTGTACTTATAAAATCTACGATGTTCTGCTAATTAATTTTAAATTTATGCTTTAATCAGTTTTTTGGAAGCATTCTTTTTACAATCTCAAAATCAAGATATATTCTCACAGAAGTTGAATAAATTTTCGCTGTTTCTTTAGTTAGAAAATTGATATATGCTGGAGTAGATTTTCATCCAGAATTGATATTAAATTTAAAATTTGTGTTTGAAATTATGATTAAAAGACGAATGCTTTTATTTTCCATAAAGTCTTCATTCATTTTTAATTGATTAGAAAGAAAGAATCGATAATTAATTAAATGACATCATAATCCTAATATTAGAAAAGCAAATAACCTATTGTATTAGTAACTGTGTAACTATAATCAAATAAGGATCCAAGATCATAATACTTTTATAAATCTTAGATTCTCTTTGAGTTAATAAAATTCTGAAAAAATAGAATCTTTGATGTAAATCAGTGATCTACTTACTCAAAATTTATAATTAAATTAATAGTAGTTTGGTGATAATGCAGTAGCAATTTGTAAATGTTTCCAAACCTTATTATAATTATAGAATACCTTTACTTAAAGAGATACTTATCCTGCTTAATTTATATAATTCTACTTATAAGCATTAACAAATTATATTAATTAAAACCATATGTAAATTAATTATCATATTAATTATTATCCGAATTTACAAAAAAACTTATGTAAAAACTAAAAACAGATGAACGAATAAAAACTTAACATGAAAATGGAGATTCAACAGTTAGATAATTTAATTCTACTACTCTTCGTATTTTAGAAAATACCATTTAAGACATTATGCTTTCAACGTTATTTGATATTTTACCTTAACATTCATTTAGAAGCAATACATCTAAAATGATAGATTTGTTAGTTAAATGCATAGCAAGGTTAACAGCTATACTAACTTAAAACAATTCAGGTAGCACTTTAATAATTAGCGAAAATGAGAGGAGAAACCATTTGGGAAAACTATCATCTTTAAATAGAAGTACTTAAGAAGATCAAGTGGATTCAAGTTTGCACAATGTATAATAAGAAAACAATCTTAATGATCAAGAATTAATATAGATAGCTGAAATGCTAAGATCTTCTGCATCATAAGATAATTGTATTTAAATATGGTTGAAAAAATCAAATGAAATCCAAGTATTATATATTTTTTTTAATGTAGCAATACAATGCTAATAAGTGGTTATGCAACTGCCAATTCTTAAATTAATAAAGAATATGATAAAATGGATGAATTCTTTGCATTAAGAGTAACATTACTTCATTTAATATTGGCATTCCCAGGCGAACCTAAAAATTTGTAACCTATATACTAATACATTTGCTAATGGTATAGTGTAATTTTAAATAAAAGTATATTATATATGACACAAAACTAATTAAAATGCTTTTACGGTATTTGAAGTAGTTTTCATATTGGTTGGGCTTTACTGTAAGATATTAGATAATGTAAAGATAACATTCTAAAATATCGGAAACTTTACTATGAATAGTTAGCTTTTGTGTCTAGTTTTAGGATTCACAGAATTATTGGTTACAAAAAATTTATTCATCCTAATGAAAACACGAATTTAAAACACATCATTAAGTTTTTAAAATATTTATTCACTTCACTTTATAGCAGCTTATTACGTTCAATCAGTTCTATTTGCTTTATTCTCAAAATGATTTATTAAAAAGAAGATCATTGATTCCAAATGAATTTATATTTGAAAGGAAGGGAATATTTTGATGTGCATACGAAATAGCGAAGTATACTTTTAGAATTAATAATTTTGTTTGGATTTAGAAGAATTCAAACATAATGAATCTAACCTGTTCTAACAGGAATGTTGAGAAAAAATCCAAATAAAAGATTAACTGCTACTTAAGCTTTGGAAATGCTAGAATAAATAATAACCAATAAGAAAAACGGTTTCTAAGTGAATGATTTGGATTCTGAAATTTAATAAGTTAAGACTGTTTCTTTTAAAAATTTCAAAGACTTGACTATTGAGACCATTATTGATTTTAATAAATATTAGTTCTCATTAATCAAAAGTAATTAATACTTAAAAGATCCTGAAATATTCAAAAGTTTCATCAAACTAATTAATTAAATTATTACATATGTAATGTTTATCAAGCTTTTATTCTAAAAGAACTAATCTATAATCTCCAAATTATACATTTTTAGTAGACTAGCAATTAAGTAGAATTTCAAGGAATCATAAATATGATAATAAATAAATTTTTGATATTATATCTTCTACTACTCATTACTAACTTCAGATATTTATTAAAATACATGAATCATTAAAGTAATGTATTAAATGATGAAAAATTAATTTTGACTTTTTAAAATATTCATAGAGGCTGATTATTTTTAAGGTTTTGAGGCATATATCTAATTATTTTTAAAAGATAAATAAGTAAAACTAATATTTTTTGGGTATACTCTAATTTATTATTTATTAATTGTCAAATGCTTATTTTTAGTAATTTAGCTTTTATATATTTAATAGGTGTTTTAGAGGCCAAAAGTAATCTTCAGTCAAATATTTCTAACATACGCAATCACATTAATTTTCTTAAGAATAATTTGATTTCAATTCTTTTTAAAATATTTTAAGGTGTAGCGTTAACTATAATTTTAGGCTCTTACAATATTATTTTAAGCTAGTCAACAACTTTTGTATTGCGTTATTTAAGACTCAATTATAAATATAGTTTCTCTCTCTAACAAACAGCTTGGAGTTGTGTGGCTTATTCAATCCAATGATTTTAGGGATAATGTACTTTTACTGAAGCTATTTATTAAATTAATGTTATGATTTTGCTCTGGATTAGACCTTCAAAATTTGCCAGTATTTACAAATAACTCTACAAAATATATTTTAAGTTATCTAGAATATATTGAAAGATATATAATTATTATTAATCTTTTAATATATATTTCAATTAATCAATATTTCATAAGTATCATATTTATTTTCAGACTTATTCCAAGTTACTAGATATCTTCCATCATTACTTAATGCTCCTTGTATAAAATTTGATTCATATTTTATCCATTTAATTATATTTAATTTACCTTCTTTAGATATTTTTATCAAATAAACATGATTTTTGTGCTTCACAATCATTAAATTATTTTTACTATTATAAAAGATAGGACATAAACGATAATCACAATTTTTATCATTCTTAATCAATTCAACTTCTTTCATCAAATTTTCTTGATATTTTCCATCTTAAAATTCAAAAATGCTGATACAATCCTTGCTTACTTAATCTCCTGGTACCCAAATAAATTAATCATCATTAATAAAATACAATCTACAACCAAATTCTTAAACTGTTTATGTAACTACATACTCAAATTACCATTTCTGTAAGATATCTTTTTTCCATATTATTATTTACTTATCTTTCCCACAAGATACCAAAGTATTTTCAGATTAATTAAAACACAAACTATAAACAGATTTTATATGTTTATCTAATGAGTAAAGATAAGTTAATTCATTCTGAATAAAATCAATTTACCAAATTTTAATTGAATGATCACGTCCACCAGAAACAAGTAAGTTCTCAGATTGATTTAAAATTAAACAGTTTATGCAATTAGTATGTTTTTAATAAGATTAAGAACTCTGCCATACTTTTTCATTGATTTATTTCCAACATTTAATTGAATTATCATAGCTAGCTGATACGAAATTATTGCACTTCTAACTAAAACATAGACTAGTAATACCATTAGAGTGTCCTATAAGTGTAGTAATTTCTTATAATCTTCCTGAAACAAAATTCCATACCTTTATGTCTTAATTAAAAGCAGATATCATAAGTGATCCAGATGAATTAAAAGAGATTGCATAACATACATGTGTTTACTAAATTGTATTATCGATCAGTTTAATGTCATGGTATAAATTCAAATTTTCTAAGTATTTTTCACATTATGAATATAACTCTAAGTTCTTAAGATTACATAATTTCAAATTAATTTTAGTACAAAATGAATTATTAAGTACTTTAATTAAGTCTATTATTTGTTTTTAATTGAATGTATTTTAAATAGGATTATTTATTAATAATTCTAATTCATCATAGAAACTATATTTGGAATTATTAGTGACAATTTCATTAAGACTTTTGATCCAATCTTTAGAATTTGATATCAATTCATCTAATTATTTTATGAGGTTTTGTTTTATTTGATGCAGTTTATTCTAAAACTATTTAACTAAATCTAAATCACCTTGAATCAAACTTTAAATATTATCGACTTTATTCTTTTATTTTTCTTCAATCATTTACATTACTTTTTTAAATCCAATAGTTTTGGATTCTGATTCAAAAGTTTCCATACAAATAGTGCACAAAAGACGTTCTTATCCCTTTAATTTATCATCAAATACAACCATGTGTATTGGTTAATTATGATTTTAACTGCAATTAAGTTGTTTTTCTAATTCTATCATAGTTGATTAATGCATAATTTAAATAAATATTAGTAAATTATATGTTAAATATAAATTGATTTTCTTAATCAAATTCTATTAGAATATTATTTTTAAATATTCAATTTTAATTAATCTCAATCCATGTTCCTTTTGTATCCCCTTACAAATTATGCTCAGCATTGCAAGTTCTTCCTATTTATACCCAAATATTCCCATAATTCTACCAAACTTCCAATCTTTACTCCAGAAGAACTATCATAGGATCCCGTGCCTCTAAGATTGCTATAATTACATTAATTTATATTCTTTCTTTTCTAACCAACAATACAAAGTATCCCATCTACCAATTTTCGTACCATTTTTTTATATTCACAGTATTAAATGACCTACTTACCTATCCAATATTCGAATTTGAATAGCAAAAATAGTAACAACGAAAGTCTCCCTCAGCCTAAGCTACAGAAAATGCTGCAATATAAAATTTATTATCTCCTCAAATTAAATTCATTAACAGTATTGATACAAGTAGCATATAGACTTTGACATTAAAGGCATCCAATATTGTGTTAGAGATATCCCGATTCACATCTACATTCTTTATTGGAATCTAGGATTTGATTTATATCTATACAGTTGACAAGATTTTGAACACTTTAAACATTTTGTTAGCGTATTAGAATAATAAGTTGATTTGCAAACACTTTACTATATGTTATTTAGTTCATGATGAAGGACTGAACAAGTCAAGCACTTAGATGTATTATTGAATTCTACTAATTATCTGTAGATAACTCGCAAGTTTTAGAGATAATTAGTAAAATCCAGAAGTAATTATTATCAAATATCCATCCAGATTCTCATTCACAAGCTTCAGGTTATTAATGAGCTTTGGTGATTAGCGTTGAATTTGAGTGACACCATCTGTATGGAAAATCCAACTTGTTTTACATACACATTGATGAAAATCATTAACTATTTAATTAATATCAACAAGGACTTACATATTGTTTACATGTTTGAGAATCAGCTTAAAAATAGTCATTTTAACATTCATATTTATATTGTATCCTAACTTAATATAAAAGTAGAAATACAAACATTTGGATTATTTTCATAATTTTAGCATGGTGCTGTACATTATTAACATTAATTTGAGATATTATTATAATATCCGGCATAGCAAAAACATTAAAAATTATTTTGTGTTTTATTATTATCAATGCATGCTGTACAATCATTTGAATTGTTGATACAAGCAGAACACAAGGATGAGAAAGAAAAACACCAATATTACATGATGTACAAGTCATACTAGTACCCAAACAAGTCTTACAAAAAGAATCACAAACTTAGCAAATAGTTCCAATAATAAAATAGTTCTCCACACAAGTATAATAATTCTTCATAGAAAATAAAACAATATGTCCAAATTTTTTAATGTCTGTCAATCTATAATATAAAAATCCTTTTTCTTTTTAAGCTTTTAAGCAAATATAAAATGATCCAATTCCAAATTTTGATTTTAATTTTTATGTTATTTACAATATATATTTATTATTGTATTCAAACTTTTGAAAACAACATGTAATAATTCCTTTTAATTTGCTTAATCCATTCCTCTATGTTTTTTGTAATATTCTCTTTATTTCTAATTTATAGATTCATTAGTATCATGGAATAATCTCCATTTTAATTAGTATTATTTATTACAATATTTCAGAATTTTCGCTTATCTTTTAATTTTTATCTTAGATAAAATAATAATGATATATGTTTCAATTGCACTGAGTTCTAAAAGTAGTTTTTTTTTCTGTACTGTGGATGATAATTAACATCAATAAAATAGATTTATATAATTAATTCTTTTTTTCACTACTTTATTATAAAAATCTACTTTATAAAAAATTGAAAATTTCACTTAAAATAATGAAACTATAAATTACCATTTCTTCTAATAAGTTCAGTTTCATAAAGATCTTGCAATTGTTATAGACTGGGAGTTGCAGCTAAAAAAGTTTGATGAATCTTTTAAGACTGAATTTGCCTTAACTTAAACAGCAAGAGAAGCTTATTATTTTAGATATATTTCTCATTTATACTAAAAAAATATAGGGAAAGTAATACCATAACTAATTTATCTTAGATGAGCTTTTTTGGCTTCTAAGCCAGCCAATCAATCAGCCAATTGATAATATCCTTTCATTTTATTTTAAAGCAACAAGAGCTGATCAAAGCAGATGGAGTTGTTAAATAACCGCTAGATATTAATACTTAAATTATACCTTAAATCATTCTTTAATATTTTGTTAACTCCTATAATATCATTATTTTATTTAATAGCTCTTACAAACAATTCATTACTCTATATAAGATGAGTAATTTATCCTTTTACAAAATGTTACAAAACTTCAATTAATTTATCTTATNTACAATCATTTGAATTGTTGATACAAGCAGAACACAAGGATGAGAAAGAAAAACACCAATATTACATGATGTACAAGTCATACTAGTACCCAAACAAGTCTTACAAAAAGAATCACAAACTTAGCAAATAGTTCCAATAATAAAATAGTTCTCCACACAAGTATAATAATTCTTCATAGAAAATAAAACAATATGTCCAAATTTTTTAATGTCTGTCAATCTATAATATAAAAATCCTTTTTCTTTTTAAGCTTTTAAGCAAATATAAAATGATCCAATTCCAAATTTTGATTTTAATTTTTATGTTATTTACAATATATATTTATTATTGTATTCAAACTTTTGAAAACAACATGTAATAATTCCTTTTAATTTGCTTAATCCATTCCTCTATGTTTTTTGTAATATTCTCTTTATTTCTAATTTATAGATTCATTAGTATCATGGAATAATCTCCATTTTAATTAGTATTATTTATTACAATATTTCAGAATTTTCGCTTATCTTTTAATTTTTATCTTAGATAAAATAATAATGATATATGTTTCAATTGCACTGAGTTCTAAAAGTAGTTTTTTTTTCTGTACTGTGGATGATAATTAACATCAATAAAATAGATTTATATAATTAATTCTTTTTTTCACTACTTTATTATAAAAATCTACTTTATAAAAAATTGAAAATTTCACTTAAAATAATGAAACTATAAATTACCATTTCTTCTAATAAGTTCAGTTTCATAAAGATCTTGCAATTGTTATAGACTGGGAGTTGCAGCTAAAAAAGTTTGATGAATCTTTTAAGACTGAATTTGCCTTAACTTAAACAGCAAGAGAAGCTTATTATTTTAGATATATTTCTCATTTATACTAAAAAAATATAGGGAAAGTAATACCATAACTAATTTATCTTAGATGAGCTTTTTTGGCTTCTAAGCCAGCCAATCAATCAGCCAATTGATAATATCCTTTCATTTTATTTTAAAGCAACAAGAGCTGATCAAAGCAGATGGAGTTGTTAAATAACCGCTAGATATTAATACTTAAATTATACCTTAAATCATTCTTTAATATTTTGTTAACTCCTATAATATCATTATTTTATTTAATAGCTCTTACAAACAATTCATTACTCTATATAAGATGAGTAATTTATCCTTTTACAAAATGTTACAAAACTTCAATTAATTTATCTTATAAATCTAGTAAGAATATATTTTATATTGAATCACAGAGAAAAGCCAAAAAAGTATTAATTAATCAGATTTAAATTAATTTATCATAAATAAAAATTTATTTAATTCTAATGGTATATAAATAGGCATGAAATTTAAATTTATCATATAATGATTTATAATTATGTATATAAAAAAGCGAAATCAAGAAGAAAACTATTCTAACCCTTATCACTCACATAATCTGCTACACCTAAAAATTTAATAGATAATAAGTTTCCAAAATAAGAATCTCCAATTAAAATGGGTTTGGCTTGTGCAATTTATTCTCCTAGTCAAAAATAGTATCATCCATTAGATGATATTTAAATAAAGAATAATTATCAAAGTGCATAAAGATAAAGTTAAAGATTTATCATCAAAAAAAGAATAATTTAATAGAAATCAATAACAGATGTTAGATATGAAAAGGAATATGGCAGTAACAGAAAAAGCTAAACTTGCAGAAACTATAGGAATTTTAACCATCTTCAAGATGTTGAATAAGCAGAAGCCACTTAATTAAGTAGTTCATATTTATAAGAAATTATAGCATTATAATAGAATGTAGGAAAAGTACTTAAAAAAACATCTAAAAAGGTTTATAAATGATCATAACAATCAAAAATAATTATAATTATAAATTACTTAATTAGGAATAAGTATTTATTATACTATTTTAAGTTAATTATTAATAGAACACAATGATGTTTTGACCATGCACTCTTTGTTTTATAATAATTTCCTTTATTAATATCTCCATCATACATTCATCATAATATGTCAAACCTACTTTAAAATTAATTATTACCAGATTACAATACAGTTATTGTATATGTTGGAACTCTTAGTAAAAAAAAGAAATATATAAATTTTACTGGAATCAAAATAAGCATTCCTGCTCCAAAAAAGGAATTCTTTAAATTCCAAAAATTCTTCTAATCATATAAAATTAAATATTTAATTAATACTATTTTGGATTATTTCTCATTAAATATTATATATATAGTTCACTTAATATACTCTAAATAAATAAAAGGATTAAAGTGTCCTCTTTCTTCAGGATCAATCTTTTCTGGATTCTATATCATTGTCTCTAATTCTTTTGCAGAAGAAAGTTGGGATTAAATGATTTTGAATTCATTGAAACATTAGGTGTTAAAATGTATGAAATGTTATGTGGAATTGCAATTTAATGATGATACTGTTGAAAAGATAATTGAAAAATATTCTTTATTTTAAAAATTGAATGACTTAAATTAGGGGATGCTGGAGAGAATGTATTTCTTATGATCTATTTACACGTTTTACACAAAGAGATATGGTCATATTTCTATGGATAAAATTAAATAGGATAAATTCTTTAAAGTTTTACATTATATTATACTTAATACACCAGGTGTTTTTATTCCTAATTAATCTTCAAGAGATACTGAAAAAATGGAATAGTTCTGAATAAATTAATTAAACCTACTAACGTAAGAAATTAACTAAACAGCTTTCAAATCAACTATACATTTTAGAACGTATAGATCTATTGAAATAAAGAAGTGTGCAAGTAACTTAGTGATAAATGTATATTGTTCTATTTACAAAAGCTTTTAGGCCGTCGATACAAAGAGAATAAAGTTATATACAAAAATAGATTGATTAACTTACTTAATTTACTACAAAGCTTTTTCTTTAAATATGAAAAATCAATGAATGAATTATATATAATATAAGTTAACTTGTCATATGGTTACTTCTCTACTTTTTAGTATTGTTAATTCTATAGATGTTAGTATTTCAAATATGGATAGTGCTATAATTGATATAGTCTGGTGTGGCGCACATAATTAGTATAATGAACATAGTAGAAGTATTATATCATTTAGAAACGTTATTAGTACTATAAAACATTTTGAAATAGATTTAGAAGATTTATCAAAATTTATAAATACAATAAAGTATTTTTAGAACCTGAATTTAATAGATTACTGATCATCATTAATTACATTACATTATACAAATAATAATAAAATGAAGAATTAATTATTTTAATGTTCATAAGATATAACAAAGATGAAATAATAATAAATATGATAATTAGACATTTGGTTCTGTCTTTGTAAAATTTTCAAACATAATCATTATCTAAATGTATAAATTATTATTCAAATTTATAAAAATTTGCTGAAATTGTTGATAAATATTTTACAACTGAAAATAAATTGGTGAATTATTTAAACATAATCATATTTAATACATACCAATTAAAATTATAGAAGGTTTAAGAGAAAACATTTAATAATTATAGATATTAGAAAAATATATTAAATATTCAAAGAGAAAGATAGAGATTTTTATTACATAAAATACCTTTAAATAGAAGAGTTCATTATGAATTATGAAACACCGTTTATCATATAATTAAGATTAATTATAAGATTTTGTTAATTATTATTTAGATTAATAGAATAAATAAACATAGAAAAATAGAATAAAAGGATGGTTACTAGATTTACCAGTTTTAAAAAGTGAAGTTTTCATGATATAATCATTATTTCTTATATATATATATTTAATAATGTCAAAGAATGTTAAACAGTTATTTTAAGATTCAAATTATACGGTACCACTAGAAGATATAAAAAGAGAGAACTTAGTAAAATACTTGGAGCGGATGTTGTAGAATAATAAATATAAATTTTAGAAAATAAAGAGATTTAGTAAACATTTTTACCTTTATCAACTGAAGGAATAGAAAAATTATCTCAATTGATACAGTAGAATTAATCTTAATCATATCAAAATCTGAGCGATACCCTTTATCAGTGTGAACAGGATCAATCTATTCCTAAATCAACTGAGGACTATTATTCGAAACATTACTACTGAATTTGCTTTTCTAAGTTATTGAAACTTATTATTAAGAAAAAGATGTTGAAGTACTTGCTTATTAAATATCTTAAGAGTGGAAATTAGAAACTCGTTTTTTTCTATTTTGATTTATAAGTATTTTCTAAGTTGATTGGAAGGATTAGATAAGCTAGATTCTTCTGAAGAAGTATTATTGAGTTTTTCTTTTATAGAAAGAGCTTTATTATCTCCAGCATCAGAATCAAAAGATAATGGTTATTTTATATTATCTATTATCAGAATCTGCGTGATCATTAATAAACCTAATTTATATGGTTTATTTGAAATTCTAGGACTATTACAACCTTCATTCACTTTAATATATAGAATTATTCATTTTAAATCCTCTTCATCTAGGAATGGTTAGTTAATTAACCCTTTCTCCTTCTTTTTATTCAATTATAGAATCAGGTATTCTATTTCTTGAAGGAAGGAACCTAGGTAAACTTTGATTAACGAAAAGAGAGAGAATTTTATTTTAGAAAAAGATCTTTTCATAGCTTAAATCTTAGATAGCTGTAGAGTCATATCATATTATTAATGATGACCTTCTTATATCTTAAAATATTCTGTTCTATTAAAAATACTCTTGTGAACACTTTTAATAATGGTCTTATGCATTTGACAAATCACTAAGGATTACCAGATTTTTTTATTTAGTCAGATAATTCTTACGCTTAGGATCTTTATTAAATTAATTCACTATTTTATCAGCATAATTAATAATTAGAGTCATAACATTATTTATATTTATTAATTCTTATTCATTACTATGTTCTTCTAAATTTATTATTATTTTTTAAATCTTTTTAATTTTATTAATTATTATCTTCTCATAATAAATAATAAATAAATTAATTATATTTATCAAGGTCTTAATATCATATAATGGTATAAAGAGTTCTTGCATTGTA